GCTGTATAATTTTACACTTTCACTATATTGCACACCACACTGTTTTTTTTCTTTTTGACTTCCACCGCTCCAAGCTTGCTCCTGTGATGGACTACAACCTCAATACAAACTAGTAGTCCATCACTGGAGCCATTTTTTCAAATGTATTTTATTGTTTATCCGATTAACCGATTAATCGAACTTAATAATCGGATAACTAATCGATTTTGAAAATAATCGTTAGCTGCAGCTCTAGTTAGGATAATCCCAGAATGCAGGGTATCTCATACATAATATGATTGTATACAGTATATGTCCTTCTCTCATATGCAGCTAAAAGTTAAATAGATCGCTGCTGACTAGGTCATGCAGCTGAACTCCAGTTAGATAAAAAAGGCATAAATTATTGCAGATCTGTAATCATTCATAATTAAATGTATTGTTTAAATGCAGGAAGTGTAAGTACTGAAACTTGACTTGGTATCTGCATCTTGCTATGTACTGTACAGCAGAGCTCAGAGAAAGAGAGGGAGAAGCAACCTAAAGAGTCAGTCAGGTGTGCTGGACTGCAAGGTGGAGGAGAGAGCAGAATGTTAGAGAGATGAGCTCATCAGTGCTTCTTCTTCTTTCACTGTGCAGTGACAGGGTGGGAGTGGAGAGGAGACCTGTAAGTGAAAATGCAATAGATAAAAATCAGGTCTGCTGACATAGCAGACCGATCTGTGCTTTGTACATTTTAGAACTGTCAAATCCTCATGCAGGCAGATCAGTATATACACTTAGTGGCCAGATTATGATGACCACCCCATCAGTACTTCGTTGGGCCACCTTTTGCCTTCAATACTGCGGCGATTCTTCTTGGCATTGACTCCACGAGATGTTGAAAGGAGTATATGTATGTATGTGTAGTTTGCTGGAGTTCATAGTCAGGTTTATAAAGACAGGTACAGAGCAGTTTTATTTTTCAGTACCCAAATAAAAGACTGTATGTGTACCTGTAGTAGAATTCAAAGCAGCATTACTGTTCTTTGTCTATTATACATTTACTCGTTGTCCTGTAACAGTTTCACATTTATTTCACATTCTCTTCCTTCAGCTGATGAAGAATTTGACTTCAGACTTCTATGCAGAGGGACTGAGACAGAAAATCACAGATAATACCACTCACCCATCTGATTACTATGAGCCCATGTTCTATGTTCCAGACAATCATGGCACAGCACACTTGTCAATTGTAGCAGCAGATGGAAGTGCAGTATCGGCCACCAGCACCGTTAACCTCTAGTAAGATATGCAATCATGCATGGGGTAACATTCCTGTGGTCAGTGATGGTATATGAACAGTTAGTGCTATTGAACATGCTGCCTTTGCACATACATAAGATGTTATATAAAATAACAGATATTTGAAAATATTAATACCCCTTGAAAAAATTATATATTACACTTCAAATCTCATGTACAGAATGAATCGTAATTCAATCATTTATATGCTCTGACCTTATTGGGATTTTATTGTTTCCTTCTTACCGAACAAATAACTGTGTGTGCATGATAACTGATTACTTTGAAAAGGAAAGTTGTCCTCATTTCCACAGACTGACAGTGAGTCAACAAACTTGGAACAAACTAAAGGTATTCACCGATATTTGTTTGCGGCTTAATTATACAACCATAAAAAAGAATAGGGTGTATTCCCTAGTCAGACTGGCATTAAGCAACGTAATTACACAATATATAATAATTCCAACCACAAAGGTTCACTTATCAGACAGCTGCCTGTGACAAGAGTGGCATTGAAGCAACTTATGTCACTATCAGTACTCAGTCCGTTTTAGGTTGCTCTGCACGTCAATGTCTTTCAGCTACTGAAAAAAATAAGTTTCGGGGGCACAAATATTGCTGCTGAAATGGGACCCAAAACACAAGAGGTGTATCAGAAGTGGCTGCATGGGGCAATTTAATAAGGCAGGTGGAAAACATCCGCTTTTGTTTGGGCAGCCTCAATAAAGCTGCTCAAATTTGAACTTCAGCTTTACCTTCCAACTTGCAAAGTTGTACAGGCTCCTCTCCTGTAATGAAATCGCTTACTTTGATTTTGCTACACATTGTAAGCTTCTCACAGTGTGCATTGGAAGCTGCAGCACGTCAGGTAAAGCCTGCCTCATTTCCTGGTTGGAAGGCATCAAGCATCATCTATCGCTTCCCTCCCCTGCCTTACTGCAAGGGCCCTCCCTACCTTATTTGCTGCCTGAGGCAGCCAGGAGAAGGGGGGTGGGGGGAGCAGTGGGTTGAGCTGAGGTATCAGCCAGGCAGGAAACAGCGGCCAGCCTGTGGAAGGCGGCATTTAGCCAAGCTGTTAGCCGGATGGGAAGCTACAGCCGGGCGAGCTGTCGGGATGGGAAGGAGCTGTTAGTTAGCTGTACTGCCGCTCCCCTTCACACTTGCTGCTCCCCAATGAGATGCCGCCTGAGGCTACCGTCTTCAGGCTGCCTCATTATGGGGATTACCCTGCTTACTGCCCCTGGCCCACCTCTTTCATTCATTGCATTTCAGTAATTTTAATCATGTAGGCTCAACATCACATGTGCAGCCTTCAGTTTTCAGGAATCTATGTTCAGTTCCCAGCCCTTCCACCGGGCATGATCTGCCTGTATTGCATAGAAAAGCAAAGAGACCTAGTGATGATGTCACTCGGTCCAAAATAAGGTATGCAATGAAAACAGAAAGGTTTTATTTATCGTATATACTCGAGTATAAGCCGTCCCGAATATAAGCCGAGGTACCTAATTTTACCACAAAAAACTGGGAAAAAGTATTGACTCGAGTATAAGCCGAGGGTGGGAAATGAGGCAGCTAATGGTAAATGTACCAAAATGAAGATAGATACCCAATAAAATTACATGAATATTTATTTAAAAGAAAAATAACCTAGCTCTGTAAGTGGAAAAGGGGGTACAGGGCTACATATCATGTACTATGGATCATTTAACCCATTCATATTAGCAGAGGATAATTGTAAATCTATTGTTCAGTGCATTCTATATGTAGTATATAGTACATGTACATGTACATGTACATATAGAGTGCCTGCAACAATACATTTACAATGATCCTCTGCTAACATGAATGGGTTAAATGATCCCTAGTACAGGGCTACATACAGATCATTTAATACATTCATGTTAGTATAATTGTAAATGTATTGTCTGCACTGTATTAGCAGTATATACTCTATATAGAGTATATACTGCTAATACAG